CAATTAAGATCCTGGTCTAATGCAGGCAGACTTTTCTTTGACTGATGGCAATTATCTCTGTCCACTTCACATATTTCTTTGGATGAAAACCTTGATGGCTCTTCATTGTCAGTTTTGCTGCTCAACTTCAAAATGAAATGGATATCTTTGGCCAGTGTTGGAATTGACTTCAGCTTGGGGTTTCTGAACATTAAAAATTATAAAGCAACAGAAAAAGGAGGAGTTAGGAAGATGTCAGATTATATTGAAAGAGTAATTACCGCATGTTGGTAATAGAGTCTGCACAAATTACCTTCAAAAATCAAAGACGAGGAATGGGATCATCTATCTAGCTCTCCAAAGTATCCTCAAACTTAGGGATTTGGAGATGTATAGATATCCATTTAGATTTTTTTTATAATAGATTTATTTAGATTTTAGATACATCTAAAGCGCGATACTTTCATCTGAAACCAAACTGAGACACAATTTATTCTACTTCCATGGGGCATCTAGAGTCTAGATATGCATGAGCAATCAAAGAACCATTAATTTTCCATCACTAAGCAGGGAGTATGAATCTATATAGACATCATGAGAATTCTATTCAAGCTTGAAAATACACGAATAGATGGCAAGTATGACTCATCAATAAGAATAATAGTCTGGCATAAAAACATCTTTACTCGGAAAAGTTCTTGAAATTTGAGCACCCTTAATTACTGCTACAAGGCAAGTAATTTCGCATCAACTGCTGCATGCTGCATTTTTAAAGAAAAAAAAGAAACCTGCAGAATATACAATATCTTACCGAAAGATGATTAGTTCTAGGGGTTACATCAAGTGGAGAGTCATTCCTATGCTTACTTCCCTTGCCAAGCTGGAAAGAGGCTTCTAAGGCAGGTGGGTGAGTGTAGTTTCATGTGAGCTAAAAGCAAAATAAAGTTCGTTGGATAATTCAACAAGAAACGGCAGCAACTGTTAGAGGTTGAGCATATAATTTTATTCTGCTGCTTCATTTAGCCACTGAACCCAACATATCCATGATGCTATCTGGGAAAACCCAAATCCTACCTTTTTCAACAACAACTATGATGAAAGCACTTCTGCAACAGTAATATTAACCCAATCAAGTTAGCAACTTTCAGTCCTTCTAAATTGTACAGAAAGTTCATGCATTCCAAGATTAATGATTCACCACACTTACATAGATGACAAGACATGAACTCCCTAGCAGTCACAGGGGAAACTCTACTAGTAACATATAAATGCTCAGGTCAAGAGATGCAAATACGGATCTAATAAAAAATCTGGAGTTTAGGGGGATAGAATTGGACTAATAAATAACAAGATAAAAGGAATGGGAAAAGGACTGTACCTGGAAACTGAGAGTAGAAAAGAACTGTGGCTCAAATGAGGAGGATTATTGACATGAAATGCAAATATGCAACGCCACAAACCAATCACTTGCCCTTCAAAGAGCTCCAAGACCTGAAATCTCCTCAATCTAAGAATTGGGTTTGCTTTCATTTCAACATATGGACCATCCACAGAGAAAACAAACTCCCTCTCAACTTCCATTTCCTTCCCATCCTTCAATCTGTAAACATGCAAGCTTCTTACCAACTCTGCAAAACCACACAACATACCAATATGAACCAAAAACCAACCCATTACGGGAATGGTAACTCTATCAAAAAAAAATCAAAAATAACAGAGATGCAAGCTGAAATCTCTGCAAAGTACATGAAACAACAAAAAAATATATATTAAAAAAAAACCTTTACAAGTAAAAACCAACCCCATTTTGGAATTCTATCTAAAACTCACTAATATCATATGCAAGCTCCTAACAACAAGTAAACACCAAAAAGAAGCAACCTTTTGAAATAAAAATCTAAAAAACACATCTAAATATCAACAAAAACTGCAATTACATGCAATGGAATAGAAAGAGGGATTGAGTGAGAGTACCTTTATTGATATTGTTCTCAAAGACTAATAGAGCTATCAAAGAAGAGGCCATGAAGAAGAAGAAGAAGAAGAGGTCATGCTTTGGAGGTGAGAAACAGAGGTAACTAGTAAACAGAAATACAGTGGGCACTGGGCAGATATTAGTGAATTGAATGGGGCAGCAGAATCAAGGTTTGTTTAGAATATTTTGCATGATTCTTTTTTCAGTACTTTGGCCTTCTCTTTTTCACTCCCTGTTTTTGTAAATTTTCATGTTATTTTAGCAGTGTCTCCCACACTTCTGCTCTGCCAGGGCATAATTTCTTGGATGCTGGCTGGCTTTATCCACTACCAAAATCCAAACAATTTTTTGAATATGTAATTGAAGGTCTTTATAATAACTGAGCTTAGCAAATCCAATGGTTTAGTTAAGCTGGGGAAGAGATTTGATGAAAATTACTTCATGATAATTTTATTTTTATTTTGGACAAAAATCTAAGGTTGTGTCATTAAAATATATTTTTATGAAACTCCATTTAATAATTATTAAATTGAGTTTGAAGAATAATCAAATATCAAAAAGTTATAAATTAAATTATTTTCATTTTATATGGTAACTTTTTAAGTATTCATATTAAATCATATCATAAAGATTGAATGATAATATTAAATGAACATTAATCGGTGCTTTATCAACCATTTAAACGGATGATAAAAATAGTTTTTTGAGACAATAAGAAAAGTATAATATAAATTTAAATTGTAAAATTATAAGTATTTTTTAACAAATTGTATATTAATAATTTCAGTCAAATAATAAATAACAATATAATACAATTAAAACAAAAATAAAATAAATAATAGAAAAATTCAAGCACTTTTAACTAATTATATATTGATAATTTCTAGTAAATAATATTATAACATAATTAAAATTAAAATAAAATAAATAATAGAAAAATTCAAGCACCTTAAAATAAAAAATTATTGATAATTTCTAGTAAATAATATTATAACATAATTAAAATTAAAATAAAATAAATAATAGAAAAATTCAAGCACCTTAAAATAAAAAAACAATGAATTGAATACATTTAGTTAATTTTCGTCTTCATAAAACCAAATAAAGTATTTCATTGAGTAGTTTTTCTTCAAGAAACTATATAAAGTATTTTGAGTCATTTATATACTAATGAAAACTAAGTTTATTCTCTGAAAAATATTAAAAAGTATTTTCAGCAGTGCATTCAAATAAAATTATAATTTAAAATGTTACAAAAAGTCCAGTAAACATAAGATTTATAATATAAATAAATAAATAAATAAAGTCATTAAAAGGGATATTAGTTCGTTGGGGAAAGCTTTTCTTGGTGGGAGTAAGAATCCTAGGTTTTAACCTTTTTGTCTGGTGTCACTAAAATCCATGAAAACCAACCTCTTCCATTTGGACTCTTCATCTACGCAATTTGACACTAATCTCCATGACTACTCCACAAAATTACACATTACCCCTGTAAAATTACATTCTCGAAATGCCCTCGCTCAATCCCCATAAATACCCACATCATGTGGAAATACTGGAATATCTACAGTAATCATCAAGGGTAATGTGGTAAGAGCACAGGCATTTACGGCTCATGAAAACCTCGCCAAACGTACCTTCGATGCATGCTGGAAAAGTGGCAAAAGAAGTTCAAGGGAGAAGTATTGTAGACCTTGGAATGATTCAGAATTAACGAAAATGCCATTAGACTGCCTCGGTTGAGGAGCTTGGACCGCTGGAACCGTTGGTCTTTCATGAGATTTTGGAAGTTCTCATGATCTTGTCTTGTAGCAAAAAGCTTTGACTCGAACAGAGTCAGGCTTGGAAGTGTCCAGGCCCCATTAAAACACTTGAGCAGAGCTTATTAAATATTATGGAGCTCTGCCTAGTCCAAGAAACAAAACAGAACCAGCATGCCGAAGCTACATTCCAGCACTCTTCGCCCTTTTTTACCCATGCATGATCATGGTGTTATCAGACAAGTGGTGTCTTCTCCGTTGTTCTTAAAAACATTTAAGAACTCCATTTTGATGTTGAATCGGATGATTCACCAGCTCAACGAATTGAGGGGTGATGGGATCCGACCATGAAAATGACTTGATGCTGAAGATATCCATCCGACCATGACTTGTCGTTGAACTGAATGTCTACAACATCTGGTTCAACAACAAATGATGTCTTCTGAATGCCTTCGAAAACAGGCTTAGGCTGACGAGGTGTATTCGATCAATACTGGGCGTTGAACTTTTGAGATCGAGCCATATGCCAAGACTCGATTCTTTCGCAAAGCCATTTGTCAATGGATTAAAGAACAAAGATAATGCACGAGGAAAATTAAATGATTATTGAAAATAAAGAGTTTTTAACTTCTTACAATCAAAGTCTTGTCATCAAGTGCTGCATCCGAAAATGATCTCGAGCTCTGATCAGCACTTCTCATGCAATGCAACAAAATGGAGGCTTTGCTTTTCCAAACATTTTTAATGCAATCATCCCTTGTGTTTCTGAATTCGCATTCAAGTTCAGGAAATCATAACGTGTCTAGTAGGCCACCTGATGCTACCGCATATCCAACACTCAGTGCAGAAAATTGCTGCAGGATGATTGGAAGCAGCATCAGAATTTGACTGGTGGAGTTATCTCTGAGGGAATTCCTTCATCTGAGCCAAGCATAGAACTCTCAGTCAACAGAGTATAAAATGAAAACTTACTGTCACAAGCAAATGATATCTGATGCGTAAGCAAAAGAGATCAAGACATAACACATACAGCTTGATGAAGCAACAGGATGCACTTTGAAAACTTGGATTCCATTTTCCTCTTGCAAAATGTTGAACGGTGCATATGAGGGGAAAAAGTCGGTGATGGGAGAACATTAAGGTGACAGCATGTAGAAATTAAGAGTTTTGGAATGATGGATTGTGAAGCATTATGATAGAGAAACTAAAGATGAAATACCTTCACAGCTTCGTCTAGAATATTTTTGTATTGCAGTACAGACTTTCATTAGGCATGGAAGCCAAACTAATCCCCTGGCAAGCTTCATCACCTAACCAAGCAAAATCCAGCATATTTAACAATGACACGTGGCAAGAGTTTGGGATAAAAGGTTTTACTCCCTTGAAGACGAGTTTGGGATAAAAGGTTTTACTCCCTTCATCACCTAACCAAGCAAAATCCATCATATTTAACTATGATATAGTGATAAGAGTTTGGAATTAAGAAATAGCTTCATCACCTAACCAAGCAAAATCCATTATATTTAACTATGATGTAGTGGTAAGAGTTTGTAATGAAGAAGTTATTTTTTAAAATTTTAGGCTTGAACCCTAAGATTACTAATATTGATGATCATTGGAAGATTGACTAGTCCTTAACTTTAAAACTCATAAGAAATAGTCAAATTATATGCAAGCTAGTTCAAACACTCCACATGAATAAACAAAAAATCCAATATATTTAAGTAATTATATTAATGTCATAAACTATTTTATGTAAATAAACACCCTACCCCATATATGAATAAAGTAAACTTAACTAATATAATGGTCATGAGTTTGAGTTATTTTAGAGTTACTGGAGTTTTACATGATTGCTAATTTTAATATCCATAGTATTAGTTAAAATATATATAAATTGGCTTAGACAGATCCATAGTATTAGTTAAAATATATATAAACTGGCTTAGACACCTAAATTATTATTAATAATAATAATAAAAGTAAACTTAGCTAAACCAGCTAACACATAAGATAAAAATTAACCAGTCAGAAATAGTTAGTCGTGTCTGATCTTTTTAACTAAGTTGCCAGAAAAATATGCAACCATATGAACAAGAGATAAACGGACGAGATGAGAAGCACACCATAGTGATCTCCTATATATACAGACCGCTCTCTCCAAAGTACAGTAGGTTTTTCTTCAATATTCTCATGTTGAACGTACGGTGGAACTGCTTTCAGAAATAAAAGAATTAGGAATTGTGAGAAGGGCATTCATGGCTGCATTTAGCAACCTCTTTCCTTGATTGGCATCATCACACAAAGCTGAAAAGATATAGCACAAACCTCAAACAAAATTAGAGAATTATCAACTCAAGTATCCCAAATTTTTTAAAAAAGCTTGGGATTGTGCACCATGGAAAGTTAGCAGACAATAAATCACAAGCTCCATCAGCATAACCTTTGAAATTCAGTTGACATGGGGTTTTTTTATTGACACGAGGAGCCATAAACGATAAATTTTTCCTCAACATAACTTTTCATCCAAGCAGACTGCTCTAAGGACCTCATAGGATAAACAACAATGGAGTCACAAAAGCTTCAAAAAAACACAAACAATTTGAATTTATAACTCCTAGCTACATTCCAGTTTCTCACAGTTAACATATGTGTTTTTAAGTACGTGAATTATTTTGAACTCGTTTCCAAATAGTCCACGAAAATTCTATGAATTGGGTAAGGCCTAGGTCTCCCTTTTATGCTTTCAGGGTGATCTTGCATGCATAATATGAGTTACAGATGCTATCAAATGCACAGTCATCAAAAGATGTTCGACAGTAAAATTAGAAAGTCAAAGTGTAAACAAAAAGATGATATTACATCTCTTCTCCAATGTAAGGACTATGTAATGTTCGACAGTAAAATTAGAAAGTCAAAATGTAAACAAAAAGATGATATTACATCTTTTCTCCAATGTAAGGACTATGTACACCACATATCTTTACATTGATATGATATTGTTCACTTTGGGCCTAAACCCTCATGGATTTGCTCTTGGGCTATACCCAAAAGGTCTTATACCAATGAAGATATTTGTCCATCCTTATATACCTATGATTCTTCCCATTTCTAGCCAATGTTGGACTTTGGTCGCATACCCAACAGTCTATACCCAAAAGGTCTTATACCAATGAAGATATCTGTCCATCCTTATATACCCATGATTCTTCCCATTTCTAGCCAATATTGGACTTTGGTCGCATACCCAAGAATCCTCCCCTCAAACAAAAGACCACTGAGCCTTCCCTCAAATGATCATTCATCCGTCCACTCTCTACCAACGTGTTAGGGTTAAGACACGTCCATGAAGGGAGTACACCGCCTATCCAATAGAGTTGATCCATGGATTAACATCGTGATTTAATTAAGGCCCACCACCTTTGTTCGGCATTCCGAGAATTCATCCACCATGGCTAATTCTGGGGCATGGCTCTGATACCCTCATGGATTTGTTCTTGGGCTATACCCAAAAAGCCTCATACCAATTGAGATATTTGTCCATCCTTATATACCCATGATCCTCCCCATTTCTAGTCAATGTGAGACTTTGGTTGCATACCCAACATCCAAGAATAAGCCAAATTTACATGCTTGGAGAGCCTGGATAAGAAAAAAAGTTAGAATTGTATTTATACCAAGCAACTCCAACAAGGAAGAGAGAACAAGAACAAAACTATAAGCTGACATTACATCAAGGGGGATATACGACCAGCGGGTTTGATGTGTCTGGATTCAAGGAACTCCTTGCAATGCATATCCTCCTGGCCACCTTCCATTTAACATCTCTGATGCTCAAAAACTAATAAATTCCATGCAGAAGATCTGATTGAGAGGCTGGCGGTGATAGAAAAGTATAGGATGGATCCAAAACCAGCTTCTGGCTAAAGATATCCTAGCCAGAAGCCAATCTCACACCTCTGTAGCTTCCACTCATTTCTCAGTTTTGGAGTTTCCCACACAGCTGTAAAGTTCTATACCTACTGAAAAAGTATGAAATACAATATAATGCTTTTGCACCTCATAAATGGCTAGACTCGTTAATGTAATCCATGTTGTAAGCAAATCATATGCATATTTCAGCACCTTCTCCATAAGCAAGGCTGTAAGTGTCGCCGACAAAACCTGTATGATAGAACTTTCCAATTCGGACGAGCATATTAGCTGTGATAACTATGTCCTAATTATAAGAAACTTCCCATATCTTTTTATAACAAAATGGAATGAGTGCTACTCACTTCATTCCATCTCTTCTTCCTCTAATACATAAACTTTCCCCACTAATCCTAGCTAGCTAACTAGCTTTCTTTTATTAGCATTTAACACATTACCAGTGATAGGGCCTAACTTCGACCTACTCGAGCCTGGTGTATATAAAGATTCAAAAGTTCACAAACAAATTTGAACATAATTCCATAAAGTTAAAAATCAGATTTGGAATAGAAAATGTGACATGATAATTAACTTGAATCAAGTAACCAATAATATTAAAACACAAACCTTTGCCTAATAATTAAATGAATCATAAATGAAAAGTAACAGAAAAATATCATAAAAATAATTATTCTTTAAAAAGTCAATTTTAATTCTTTTAACAACTATAAGTATAAGTTTTCCTCTCACATAAAAATATAAATATTATTTTGAAATCAAAATTTGTGTGTGAGAGTTTATTCTTATTCTAGATTTTTATAGAACAACTCTTGTTAAAGAATTAACTAAGTTTTGTGACTTCTTCTGTACCTCTTGTTCATATCTCTTTATAAGTATTGGGTGGAGATTCGATTTTTATAATCTTAGTGTTTCAGTATATGTTATTATTGTATCAAACTCAATCAAAAGCCTGAATTTAGCTTTCTTGAAAAATGATAAATTTAACTATAGATTTATGAATCTTTATATCTATGAGGTTCGCATCGGTTAGTATTAGAGTAACGCTCTAAAATCAATTTATATCTTTTTATCTTTTATTTTTTATTATTTCATCGTTGTCTTTATCTAGCACCTAGTTACAACAAGAGTAAAAAAAATAAAAATAAATTCCAAAATTAAGTTAATATATCTTCCAAAAATGAATAATATCCAAGTAAAGTGATGATTTGAAGTTATATTTTTTTTAGGAGAGAAAGGATGATATGATCCAAACTATACCAAATGATTTATTACATGTGTCTATTAGACCTATTACAATGTTAAGAGCTAGGAAAGTTAAAGAGGCTTTCAATTGGTTAATTTAAGATATTTTGGCCTCATTTTTTAAAAGATTTTGTGATTCAATTTATTTTCCAACTTGTATGTTGATTGGACTTATTTTTTTAATGTTTATTTTTATGCTAATAAGTATAATATTTAATCCAATCATTAGATTGAACTAAAACTTTACCAAAAAATTTTAGAGAATTTGTTTTATATTAGATTAAATTTTCAGGTGAATCGAATATCGAAAAGATTTTACGATAAAGTCCAAAATATACTATACGGGAATTACATTAGTTTTCTAATTTATTTAGGATTCTTGTTTATCTTTTATTTAGAATTTTATTATTATTTTTCTAGTAATTTTTAAGGTGTTTTTTTACCTAGTATAAGTAAAATTATTTAGCTTGTATTAGATTTTAAAAAATAAATAAATTATTTATTTAAAAATAAAACTTGTGAGATAATTTACTGTAACTCTTCCCGTAGGATTCCTATGAACTCCAATAAGGTACAGAAATGAAACTATATGCCGATCTTACATCGAGGGGGATAAACAACCAGAAAATTTGACATATCTGGCTTCAAGGAACTTCTTATGGTGCATATCCCTCTGGCCACCTTTCATTTAACCTCTCTAACGCTCAAAAAGTTAGAACTTTCATGCAGAACGTGGTGGAGAGGTTGACAGAGTGGTCAGTGTAAAGGATGGATCCAGAACCAGCTTCTTCTGGCTAAATATGACCTGATCAGAAGGCAATCGTACACCTTGTACCTCCCACTATCCTGAAAAATGAAATAAAAGCAAAGATAATTCATCTGAACCTCTTACAGCTTGGCTATATTCATTTGCTATCCATGTAACACATTATAAGCATATTTTAGCACCTTTTCCATATGCATCGCCATCACCGGCACTCGCAAAACCTGTATCACAGAAGTTTCTGGTGCAGGTGAGCGTATTGACTTGACAGAGTCGCAACTGTTTATGTCCACTTTATAAGAAGTTTATGGCCTGTTAGGTAAGCATTATTTGCAAATTTGTTAAGTTCCCACTAAACACGAGGAAAAAATAACACAAGCAGACGTCACCATTCTCATGAAAATCAAGCAACACTCAAGTATCTAAGCAGAATAAGATCAGACAGTGTCAATCCCATTTAGGAGCAATGTTATTTGGACAACACATGGACAGCAACAGATATGTTAGATTTTCAGTAGTCAATAGAGAACTAGAACCGAAAACGTCTTTTCCCCTGTATCAGCCTCTGTCCTATTCTTTCTGTGGGTTTCAATACTGGGAAGAAAAATAGTACAATCTAGTAGTTAAAGCATTATGTTTTTCAGATCTAGATATTATACCAGTCGCAGGTATAGCACTGTGAAACCCACCTAAATTTTAAACCACAGAATAACGGCTAAACCATAACATATAAACAAGAATTAACGTCCCAGCTGGTGACTGGTGTAGAGCCAAACAATCCATTCCATCTTTAGTCCTGAGCAAATCTCGACAAGCCTCCATGTCCTCTTGATCATAATCTGTTATTGCTATAGCATACGGAATAATCCTGCAGACAAGCAGAGATAAACAAAATCAAGTAAACTTCAGACCAATCGGGGGGGGGTGTGGGGGGACGCACAGAAATAATAATATTACTCTCCTCGACTGATACAGCAGGGTGACAGCAGTCTGTACGGTTTAATAGTTGGAGGCGATCACATTTTCGACAAGTAGTCAACAAACGGCCTCTCCAAATCCTCCTCTGAAATCTTCGCCTTCCCTTCCTCTCATCATTCTCATTCGCACTTCCATCCCCATCACCGGCTTGAAAAACCTCATCAACTGATTCTTTTCCATCAGAGTCAAACTCTTATCCTTAATTATGGCAGCTCTAGAATCAGGAACGTTCCATAACTTTCCATTTCCATCACCAACAAAACTGGCATCAACACTATTGAACTCCACATACTGACTTGCTTCTGATTTTAACATAAGATCAATTGATTTTTCTCACAAAATAATGTCCTCAGCCCACATTAATCCAAATTAAACTTGCGCGAGTTTTTTTTTTTTTTTTGGCAACAATTCGGGGCAAAAACATAAAACAAGACCCTATTTCCTATACAAATTCTCCCAACATAGGTTTTAACGCTGTAAATCTTGATTTTAGAGAGATGGGTTCTACAGGCAATTTCGCGTGTTCTTGTTGCGTTAGGATTTTAGTTTCACTTTGAAAGATGTTTGATTTTGTAGTCTTTTGTTTTGAAGGTTCTACAGGCAATTGCTCGCACAGTTTTCATTTCGAACATTTTAACCTTTTTACTAAAATTGTGGTTGCACCCCTCCTAACCCTTCCAATTTGTGGCTATCTAGTAGCGAAGGGACGAACAGGGTCCGAAATTCTATCAGTAGCTCACGGGCTTCGTATAAATTGGGATTCGGCAGCTAAAACAGCTATAGCTCAATTATGATTGGTACTCAGGAAGAGATTTCAAGTTCGAAACTTCTAAATAAAAAATGCTGTACAAAAATTAAATTTGGATGGATTTAATAGCATAGATTCGCACAAAAAAAGGAAGAGATTTCAAGTTCGAAACTTCTAACTAAAAAATGCTGTACAAAAATTTAATTTGGATGGATTTAATAGCATAGAAGAATGCACAAAAAAAAAGTAAAAGGAAAAGGAAAAGGAAATGCATACCTTCTTTCCGAGGAAAAACGAAGCAATACATTAATCCGTGCAATTTATGTGGAGGCTAATGCAAATCCCATAATTAGAATCCATAGGTATCATTTTCCATCAACAGTCATTTTTTTCACACAACATTATCCTCCATTCATGGGGCAAAGTCTAATGCTCGGTTCTATTACATATAAATCATGGCGCCAGGCTGTTGCCTTTCTTAGAGAAAGTAAATTCAATTCTTTTTTTTACTAAAATTGAAGTTATTCTTTTTTATATTTTAAATCATTTTCATGCGCTACTTTTAAAAAATTAAAATTAAAAATATTATTTTAATACATTTCAATAAAAAAAACTATGATAACTACATATTCCCAAAACAGGCTATTAAAGGCTATATTTTACCCTCGAGCGCGCTATTGATGCAAGCATGCAAGGCATTCATTCTAGACTACTAGAACCCGATGCTAAGCTTGCTGAAAGAACGACTGCCAAACAAAGACACTCACACAATGACGTTGATAACAAAAAAAGACACATACAAGGTCTAGCATGTGCAGGAAAGAAAATGCTATTAGGGAAAAGCAAGCTACAGCTATAAAAATTACTCATAACATCCTATTAATTACTTTTTTAGCTTATTTAAAAAAACTACAAGAAAAAAAAATTATACATTAAAATATTCTTATCTAGGTCATGATTTCATTCTCTCTCTTTTCTCTGTGTATCTCGAATAGGATATCTTTAGTGAACTCCCTGAGCACTACACATTGTATAAAATTTGTTGTATCCAAGAATAAATAAAACTGTGCTCCAAAAACTAATTAGTCTTCATAATCCTCCACTATTTCCATACAAACAATTAAATAACTGAACCAGAAAACTGGGAACAAATTTGGCCTATGGCAGAATGACACTAAACATGACATCTTCATAAGAAGCAAAATTTAGATCATTAAAAAGACAGTTATCTCGTATCTGAACATTATAAGCATATAACAATAACCACATTGAACTTTATTTGAGTCAGATGTGAACTAAACAGATGGCCAGAATACAAACAGTAAACCTAAGGGCGGCATAAAATCCTATGCCAGTTGGCTTCTTTTCACTGCCTTGATCTCGACTCTGCCCGTCTAGCTTCATCTTGTGTTGAAGGAAACAGCTCAACATACCTCGATCCAATTGTCATCTTGTCCTTGCTCATAGCTCTTTTGGCCTCCTCAGCAGAAATGAACTCTACATATGCCTCTCCAGTAGCTTTCCCATCTGGGCGGCATGCAATGTGTATCCTTTCATCAATGAGCTTAAAGTCTTT